CAGGAGGCGGAGGTTGCGGTGAGCCGAGATCGCGCCATTGCACTCCAGCCTGGGTAACAAGAACGAAACTCCGTCTCAAAAAAAAAAACAAAAAAAAGAACAATGCCTTGAGACCCCATTTCTATTAAAAATTAGCCAGGTGTGGCGGCATGCACCTATAGTCCTAACAACTCAGGAGGCTGAGGCAGGAAGATCACTTGACTCTAGGAGTTCCAAGCTGCAGTGAACGGTGATCATGCCACTGAACTCCAGCCTGGATGACGGAGCAAGACCTGTCTCAAAAAGAAAAAAAAAGAAAGAACAAAAGAACAAACCCTGACTGTAATAAAAATACTAACCCTTTTAAAGATAAATACAAAAAGCAAAGCCAACACTATTTTTGATAAATACTGAGGCAGGAGAAACAAGACTCCCTTAGAAATGAGTTTAATGACCAGTAAAGCCCTGTCCGGGCCTGGCCCAGTGGCCCATGCCTGTGCCTGTAATCCCAGTATTCTGGGAAGCCAACATGGGAGGATCACTTGAGGCCAGGAAGTCAAGACCAGCCTGGGCAATGCCTTGAGACCCCATTTCTATAAAAAAATTCTATAAAAAATTACCCCTCAGATTATGCTGAGGAGTAAGCCCAACTTTGACCAACGGAGGATCTTAAGGACAAGAGGGCAGCAGACTCTGCCAGAGGCTTTGGAAATCCACAGGGAGCTTCTCCTGGTCTTGGCACATTTCCCTCACAAATCTGCTGTACACCAGCCCCCTTGACCTTCCCTGTGAACACAAGCTTAGAATCAAAATCAAAGCATTACTCAGCAGGCCATCCCATCACTCCGCTGTGCCTTCCCCAGGTTGTTCTGTGGAAGGGTCAGTCAAGATCCCTCTTTCTGCCAGAAGAGCTGGCCAGAGTCTGCAGGATGCCCTCTGGCCTCGGAGGGCCTGGGCCACGTGAAAGTCACCCTGCACTGTGTTGGGCATTTACACATCACAATGCTGGGGGCTGCCTTGGCTCACACATCAGCCTCACCCATGGGGCTACACTCAGTGGCATCAACAAGCAGCATCTCCTCAAAGGCCCAAGTTACGAAGTAATGGCACATGGCCAGGTGCGGAGGCTCACACTTTTAATCCCAATGCTCTGGGAAGCTCAAGCAGGTGGATCACTTGAGCTCAGGAGTTCAAGACCAGCCTAGCCAACATGGTGAAACCCTATCTCTACTAAAAATATAAAAAATTAGCCGGGTGTGTTGGCACATTCCTATCGTCTCACCTGAACTGGAGGCTGAGGCAGGAGAACGGCTTGAACCTGGGAGGCAGAGGCTGCAATGAGCTGAGACTGCACCACTCCAGCCTGGGCCCTGGAGCAAGACTCCATTCCGAAAAAAAGCACCGGTGAGGGATAATTGTATGTGTCAATTTGGCTGGGCCACAATGCCCAGATATTTGGTCAAACATTATTCTAGATGTTTCCGTAAGGGTACTTTTTAGATGAGATTAACATTTAAATCAGTAGATTTGGGGTGAAGCAGATTACACTGCATAATGTGGGTGGGCTTCCTGCAAGCACTGTGAGGCCCCGACAGGAAAACGATGGACCTTCCAGAGGAAGAAGAAATTCCCCCGCAGATTGCCTCTGGACTTGAACTGCAACTCCTCCCTGGATCTCCAGTCCACACAACTATCCTGCAGATTTTGGACCCCAGTCCCACAGTCACGTGTGCCAATTCCTGAAAATATATCAAGAGAGAAGACCGGGCACAGTGACTCACGCCTACAATCCCAGCACTCTGGGAGGCTGAGGCGGGTGTCTCACTTAAGGTCAGGTTTGAAATCAGCCTGGCCAAAGCGGGGAACTCCATCTCTATTAAAAACATAAAAGTTAGCCGGGGATGGTGGGTGTCTGTAATCCCAGCTACTTGAGAGGCTAAGGCACGAGAATCGCCTGAACCCGGGAGGCAGAGGTTGCAGTGAGCTGAGAGCGTGCCATTGCACTCCAGCCTGGGTGACAGAGCAAGACTTCATCTCAAAAAAAAAAAAAGAAGAAAGAAAGAAAGCAGAGAGAGACACAGACAGAAACAGAGACAGAGAGAGATGGAGTTAGAGGTAGAAACTGAGGCAAAAATGGAGCAAGACAGAGAAGGAGATACACACATCCATACACAGAATGCCCCCCTCAGCCCCGCCCCGCTGATTTTGTTTCTCTGGAGAGCCCTGAATAACACAGCAGGCCACAAGACTTGGATGTCAGGTACAAAAACATTTATAACCTACAAGCAAGAACAAGGCCACTGAAAAGCTGCCCTAATAAATAGTTCCATCATAGAAAAAAAAAACTTGTCTGTGAAAATATTCATTTGAGAATAGCTGATAAAAAAAGCAAAAATAAAAACCATCAACCTAAATACCCAACAAAAGGGGAAACATTTCACCAGTCATAACAAGTTGATCTGACTGAACAGCAACTGATCTGGCAGAACGGGGTTCTGGGGAGAAATGGAACCAATGAATGTGTGCATGGATAGAGACCAACAGACAGACAGGCAGGCAGACAGGAAGGCAGGCAGGCAGACAGGCAGATAGATAGGTAGGTAGGTAGGTAGATAGATAGATATAGATAGATAGATAGATAGACAGACAGATAGACACGTTTATATGGAAGAACTGGTCCATGCAACTGCAGAGGCCAAGAAGTCCCATGATCCACAGTCCACAAGCTGAAGAGCCAGGAAAGTTGGTGGTGTGGTGAAGTCCAAGTCTGAAGCCTGAGAACCAGGGGAGCAGATGGTGGGAGTCCCAGGCCCACAGCAGAAAACCCATGTCCCAGCTGAAGCTAGCAGGCAAAAAGGAAATAATCCCTCCCTTCCTTCACTTTTTGCTCTGTTCAGGCCCTCAGTGGATTGGATGGTATCTATCCACGCTGGAGAGGGCTGTCCCCTTTACTGAGGCCACCGAGTCCAACACTAACGTCCCCAGAAACATCTCACTGATGCACCCAGAAGTAACGTTCAATCTGGATACCCCACAGCCCAGTTAAGTTGACACACAAAATTAACCATCACATCAAAAAATCAATATTCATAATTATGTAGAAACATGAAAAGCATTTGACAGAACAGCTAAGGCATGATGGCTGACACCTGTAATCCCAGCACTTTGGGAGGCCGAGGCAAGCGGATCACCTGAGGCCAGGTGTCCAAGACCAGCCTAGCCAACATGGTAAAACCCCATCTCTACCAAAAATACACAAAGTCGCCAGGTGTGGTAGTGCACACCTATAGCCCAGCTACTCGGGAGGCTGAGGCACGAGAATCACTTGAACCCCAGAGGCAGGTGGCAGTGAGCCAAGATCATGCCATGGCACTCCAGCCTGGGCAACAGAGTAAGACACTGCCTTAAAAAAAAATGACAGTATAAGCTTTGGATTACAGCATATCTGAATCCAAATTTCAACTCTGCCAATGGCTTTAACAAATCTTCACTCTCTAAAGAATCCTGTTGCTCTATCTGTAAAATGGGAATGACACCCACTAATCTCACATGGTTGCTAGAAGTCTTACAATACAGTGTATAAATCACCAGCAGCACCTGGCATATCTCAGATGACCAACAAAATAACACTATTAGTACAAGCATCCATGCAGAAGGGGACTAGAGTAAAAAATTAAAAACAAAAATAGGCACAGTCTCATCAGAAAAAAAAACCCTAATTTTAAAACAACATGAAATTGAACATCTTAGGGCTAGAGGCATACTGTGGCCTAAACAATACCATAAGATTCAGGCCACACCAAAAGATACATTTCTGTACATTCACGTTACGCTTATTTTTTTTAAAGATGGTGTCTTGCTGTGTTGCCCAGGCTGGTCTCAAACTCCTGACCTTAAGCAATCCTCCCACCTCAGCCTCTCAAAATGCAGATAATACAGGCGTGAACCACTGTACCCAGCCTCATTTTACACTTCAATGGACTGGATTTTGCAGTAGTGATGATTAGGATGGCACTGTGTACTATAAAGCCTAACAGGTAACTGGCTTATTTGGGCTTTTGGGGGGGTTTTTTTAAGAAGGAGTTTCACTCTTGCTGCCCAGGCTGGAGTGCAATGGGATCATCTCGGCTCTGCCTCTGATGTTCAAGTGATTCTCCTGCCTCAGCATTCCAAGTATCTGGAGTTACAGGTATGTACCATCATCTGGGGCTAATTTTATATTTTTTTAGTAGAGAAGGGGTTTCATCATGTTAGTCAGGCTGGTCTTGAACTCCTGACCTCAGGTGATCCACCCACCTCAGCCTCCCAAAGTGCTGGGATTACAGGTATTAGCCACCGTGCCCAGTCAACTCTACTGATAAAGTAGCACGTGCAGGCAAGTTCGTGATATTCACACCCCTGCAGATAAACACAGAAGTCACCCTACTACAACTTTTCTCCTAACCCGCCTTCTTCCTGAGCTTCCTGTGCTAGTGGCAAGTCAGAGATGCTAGGAAAACAGTCAACGAAAATGACAGATGTATATACAAAGCAAAAATTTCAAGGCACACATTGTGATCTTAACTTTATATTAAGTACCCTCAAATTGTATTTCCTTTCCCTCTTTTAGTTCTCAGAGGAATAGCAAACAACACTCCTTCCAAGTAACACTCCTAAATCAACACCTCAAGAAGGAATGATGCCCTGAGCAAACATTAAACTTGCAGTCCTATTTCACCCAATACCATAGAAACAGAAAACAGTGACCCTAATCTCCCCTCATTAAAAGCACAAGGGGAGGCTGGGCACAGTTGCTCATGTCTGTAATCCTAGCACTTTGGGAGGCGGAGGCAGGCAGATCACTTGAGGTCAGGAGTTAGAGACCAGCATGGCCAACATGGTGAAACCCCATCTCTACTAAAAATACAAAACGTAGCCGGATATAGTGGGCACCTGTAATCCCAGCTACTCAGGAGGGTGAGGCAGGAGAGTCGCTTGATCCCAAGAGGTGGAAGTTGCAGTGAGCTGAGATCACTCCACTGCACTCCAGCCTGGGGGACAGTGAGACGCCATCTCACACGCACACATGCAAAAGCATGAGGGGAACTTACTTCTCAAGCGACTCCGAGTGGCCCCTGTGCTTCCTTCCTGATGAGTTTCCATACATGTCATCTTCGTTTTCATCCACATCTTCATCATCAATGCTTTTCACATCAAGCTTCTGGTACCCAAACTCCCCATTCAAAGACAGGGAATCAATTTTCCATGAGTTACTGCTCTGACTTCCAATGGAATTTGGCCCAAAGGGGCTTTCAAAGGCCGACATGATATTGACAGAGGAGCGGTCAGAGTTCTCCTCTGAGCTCTCCCCTGCCCCAGGTATCTTTTTAAATACATCCCCAGAGTTCTGCTCATCTTCCTCATCATCAAATGAGATAATGTTGGTCACTTTTTTTTTCTTCTTCCGCTCCTTTTTGCCTTTGGCATCTGGCAAAAAAAAAGATTCGGTATAAGAAAAAGCAGGCAAGACAAAAGGATGATCAAACAACTCACCTCCAGGTTATGGAAAATACTATTCAACTGAGGAATACACTGTAACATTAATTCAGACTTTTAAAAAATCATCAACGAAAAATTGACTACAGATCGAGCTGAATGGATGCAGGCCTCCACCTCTAATTTAAATAAACACACCACAGAGCACACACTGAAACTGTTCTAAAAGCAGTCACTTTGATGTGAAGGATGCTACCATTATCGAAATGATCTTCAGTGCTTCACTTTAAAAAATATTCTCATGACTGTAGATGAGCCCACAAAAACCAGCTGGGGGGTGTGGTCAACTGTTGAACAGCCTCAAATTCCTGCCATTCCTGTGCAATGCCCCTTTGCAATAGGGCTTCGTGGTTCTTCCCAGCTAGAGATGTCCATTTCTGTACCCTCTTGAATCTGGCTGGTGTAGTGCTCTGCTTTTTTTTTCTTTAAGAGTCATGGGGTCTCACTCTATTGCCCAGGCTGGAGTGCAATGGCGCAATCATAGCTCACTGTAACTTCACATTCCTGGGATCAAACAATCCTCTGGCCTCAGACTCCCAAGTAGCTGGGACTACAGGCGCATGCCACAACACCCAGCTAATTTTATTATTTTTTTTTAGAGATGAGGTCTTGCTGTGCTGCCCAGGCCGGTCTCAAAACCTCTGGCCTCAAGCAATCCTCCCACCTCAGCCTCCCAAATTGCTGGATTATAGGCATGAGCCACCTTGCCCTGCCTTTACAAATAGAATGTGACAGAAATGGCTGCATACAGTTGCTCATGCCTGTAATCCTAACACTTTGGTGGATCACTGGAGGTCAGGAGTTCCAAACCAGTCTGGCCAACATGACAAAATCCTCTCTCTACTAAAAATATTAAAAAAAAATTAGTCAGACATGTGGTGAGTGCCTGTAATCCCAGCTATTTGGGAGGCTGAGGCAGGAGAACTGATTGAACCTGGGAGGCGGAGGTTGCAGTGAGCCAGAGGTTGCAGTTAACCAAGACCATGCCATTGCACTACAGTCTAGGTGACAGAGCAAGATTCCCTCTCAAAAAAAATATGTGGCAGAAATAACGCTATGTGAGTTTCTAGTGCCTAGGCATAAAAAAGGTCTCAGAGCTTTGCCTTCACCCTCTCAGAGAGCAGCCCTGACCTCACACATAAAGAAGGCAGTTCAGCTGACTGGAGGATGAGAGGCCATGGGTACAACCCGAAATGCCCCAGGACTGATTCCAGACATGTGGGTGGGGCCATCTTGGGTCTTCCAGTGTAACCGCCAGCTCCCATGAATGGGCCCAGGGGACCTAGCAGAAGAACCACCATACGAACCCACATAAAAACGTAACGAACTGTGGTGATTTTAAGCCACTACATTTTTGAATCACTTGTTATATAACACAGGCTAACTGAAACAGAAATCAAGCCTGCTTTAGTGACCAGCACTCAGAGAAGACTCTTTCTGCCCCCATTTTAATCATCAGGCTTGGATGTAAGACACTTTGAGCAATTCCAAAATCAAATCCATCTAAACCAATGTGTGATGCGGTGAGGCCTCACTGGTATAGCACAACTCTGAGATTACCTCAAAAGTAGAGTTCCAAAAATAGGTGGGACTACTTCTCCTTTGGGGGTAGAAATTTCAGTGTCTTTGTTACACAAAGCCATCAAAAGCCCTATCTCCTACATCATTCATGCAGGGTATCTACTGGAGAAGCAGAGGGCAAGACAGGCAAAAGACACCATGGGATTCTACACTTTCACCATCCAAAGGGATGGCCACAATTACTGCCATGCTTAACAGATTTGAAAATACTAAGTACTTAAGCCCAAAATTTCCAATTTCAACCAGGTACAGTGGCTCATACTTGTAATCCCAGCACTTTGGGAGGCCACGGCAGGAGGATCACTTGAGGCCAGGAGTTCAAGACCAGCCTGGGCAACATAGCAAGACCCTGTCTCTGCATACACATACATACACACATACACACATACACACACAACAAAATTTCCAATTTTGCTGTAGCAACATCTTAATGTACCAAAAGTCTCAAGGGGTATTAAAAACTTACCAAATTAACCTTAACTGAATCAACTTTCTATTTTTATTTAAAAATTTTTAAAAACAGGCTGGGTATGGTGGCTCATACCTGTAATCCTAGCACTTTGGCAGGCCAAGGCAGGCAGGTCACTCGAGGTCAGGAGTTTGAGACCAGCCTGGCCAACATGGTAAAATGCCATCTCTGCTAAAAATACAAAAAGTAGCCAGGCGTATTTGTGTGTGCCTGTAGTCCCAGCTACTTGGGAAGATGAGGCAAGAGAACTGCTTGAACCTGGGAGGTGGAGGTTGCAGTGAGCTGAGATCATGATACTGTACTCCAGCCTGGGCAACAGAGTGAGACTCTGTTTCAAAAAAAAAAAAAGAGTTAAAAAATTGAGACAAGGTCTCACTACATTGCCTAGGCTGGTCTAGAACCCTTGAACTCAAGCGATCCTCCTGCCTTGGCCTCTCAAAGTGCCAGGATTACAGGTGTGAGCCACCGAGCCGAGCCTGAATCAACTCTCTTGTGCCTCCCAGAGCCTAGAGCCAAAGCTGACATCTCCTCTCTTCCCTGAGGCCTCCACTTAAATGCCATCCCCAGTGGGAGGCAAGCCCAATGGGAGATGCAGCCTATGCTTGGTTTTCATCCCTTTTATCCTAAAGATCATAAATTATATACTTTATCATGAACTACCCACCCACACCCATCCCATAGCAGACTGAGGGCTACCTGCTGGCAATCTGTCTTTCCTATTCAGCTCACTGCCTAGCACACAGAACACGATGAAGGAACAAATAAAGGAATGAATGAATAAGGATCAACGCCATCTGGCTCCTCGTGTCCCTCGCACCCTCACTTTCCGTTTGCTGTGGCTGAGCTGCTCATTTTTCCACCCTGCAATTCTTGCATCTAGGTAAGGCCATCATTGCCCTTTCAGAGTGAATGAGGATGAGAAACAGAAACACAAATGTGAATGGAAAATGCAAGTGCACTGGGCTCCATTCCCCTTGGAACGACTTTCAGGTGACGAGGTATGTCCGTCCACCTCATCAGCCACGTTCTGCTTCCCTCTGCTCTGCCTCGAGCATAGCTCCTGCTCACCAGCGCTGACGTTCCTGGACACGACGGGCAGCGGGTCAGTCTCCTGTTCGGGTTTGATGAGGATGGAGACAGCAGAGGAGGCTGTGATCTCCCTGAATAGGCTGCTCACTCCTTGCGTGGACTCCTTCAGCAAGGAGGTCACATTCTGCGTTGACTCCTTTAAGAGGTCTGAAACGGTGGGAGCAAACTTACTCTGCCCGTTCAAATCCTTGTTGTCGATGTTAATCGCAAAGAGTATGGAGTTCAGACCTGCCCAAAAAAATGGAAAAGTCTGGAGTGCTTGCTGATGGGCAGTCATACCCCTAACAAGCGAAGACAGCTGCAGACAACAGAGTATACAAGAGGTGACACACTGATCTTAAACAGATATTAAAAAACCTTCCACGCAGAGGTTGCAGTGAGCCAAGATCACACCACTGCACTCCAACCTGCGTGACAGAGCAAGACTGTCTCAAAAACTACAACAACAACAAAAACACCTTCCTTGGCTGGGCGCGGTGGCTCGCGTCTGTAATCCTAGCACTTTGGGAGGCCGAGGAGGGCAGATCAGGAGGTCAGGAGATCGAGACCATCCTGGCCAACATAGTGAAACTCCATCTATTAAGATACAAAAAAAAATTAGCCAGGCATGGTGGCATGCACCGTAGTCCCAGCTGCTCAAGAGGCTAAGACGAGGGGAATCGCTTGAACCCAGGAGGCAGAGGTTGCAGTGAACCAAGATCGCACCACTGCACTCCAGCCTGGCAACAGAGCAAGACTCAGTCTCAAAAAAAAAAAAACTAAAAACTCCTACAAAACTGGGGTCAGCAGATACCCATTATCATGGGAGTGGAGTCATACCACATTTTCTCCCTAACAGCCAGGAAGACAAATAGGAATAAGTCAGATGGGAGAAGGTGAAGACACAAGCTCTGGGATCAGGCTGCCTGGAGGTGAATCCCAGCACTGCCACCTACTAGCTACAAAACCTTGGTCCAGCAACTTATCATCTCTCTGTACTCCAGTTGCCTAATCTGTAAGATGGGGACAATATTATCTCCCTCACAAGATTCTAAGTATTAAAGGCACTCACTCATGAAAACACTCAGCTCAGTAAACCATCAAACGTGCACTGATAGTATCACTGTCATTACTGTGGGCAGAAACTTACACTGGTATCTTATGACCTGCAAAGGAAATCGTGGTCAAATCCTTTTTCTCATTAATGAACAGGACATAACCCCAAATACATAAGACTTAGTATAAACTTTCAAGGAAAAACAAAAAGGAGGCAACAAAGAACTTGGAAAGAGGAAGCAAGCTGCCCACTTCAGTCCGGCTGATTCCACCTTTCACCCTTTGAGTCAAACAGTAAACAGTGTAACAGCCACAGAGTAACATCAACCCAGGGCCTCCATGTTGACTAATCATGTGCATGACTCCTGACCTCACATGATTCTCTCACAGCCCCATGAAGTTGACTGCTGAGACAGCATGATTCCCAACTTAAAGAGAGGAAAGAAAACGTAGCAAAGCTTACAGCATCCACTCCAGGTCACTAGGTAGCAAGGGGTAAAGCCAGAATTCAAAGGTAGGTCTCCCACCTCCAGTTCCCCACAATGCCTACTACATCTCCAAAGCCCACTAGAAATCTTCAAATCTATGCTTTCTCTGCCAGGGTCTCACATTCTAGATAAATCGATTCAACATTCTGGCCTGGCACAGTGGCTCGTGCCTGTAATCCCAACACTTTGGGCTCAGAAGTTGGAGAGCAGCCTGGCCAACAAAGTGAAATCACATCTCTACTAAAATACAAAAATTAGCCAGGAGTGGTGGCAGACTCCTGTAATCCTAGCTTCTCCAGAGGCTGAGGCAGGAGAATGGCTTGAACCCAGGACGTGGAGGTTGTGGTGAGCCAAGATCATGCCATTGCACTCCAGCCTGGGTAACAAGAGTGAAACTCCGTCTCAAAAAAAAAAAAAAAAAAAAAAAAAAAAAAAAAAATTAAAAAAAAAAAAAAAAAAAAAAAAGGACAGCAGCAAGTGACTCATTAAGTTGTTGAGGAACAGGGAAGAATCACAGCATCCCATGGGATTGTGGATCTACCCCAAGGCAGCCCCTTTGCTCACAAGCATCACAAGGCCCGGCGCTCTGGCCTGGGCCAGGCTTACCAGCTGCCATGGTAGGAAGCATGCTAGACCTCTCTTCATCCATCACAAATGACCAGTCTTCATAAAAAGTGCTGCAGATTGAAAGAGAAAAGGAAACAGTTCTTAGTGGTGGTTCCCAGTGTCCACTGACCAGGCAATTCTATTAGCTCCCTGGAAGGCATGCACCTGGTCACCTCAGGAGGGATACGATTTGTCTGCGGTCTCTGCTGGTTTAAAGCTTCTGGTTATGAACGCAAGATGGAACCCATACATCCCACAACTTCCTTCCTGGTCCCCTGACACCTCCAGCTTTAGAATACTAAAATAGACATGATATGTAAATGTATCTATAAAGCAGCAAAGCAGAAGGAAGCAGACGGATGGGTGACTTCCACTCAAGCAATGACCCCAAGAGATAGACAGGAAATCTAAGCCCAGCCAACAGGGCTTGCCTGATTTGCCTAATACAAAAAGAGACCATTTCAGACAGAAATCACAGAGCCTCTATGGCTTCATTAACCAGGGCATTTAATATGATGCCTGCCTTGGCCGGGTGCAGCGGCTCACGCCTGTAATCACAGCACTTGGGAGGCCGAGGCGTAGGGGGGAGGAATCATTTGAGGTCAAGAGTTCAAGACCAGCCTGGTCAACATAGTAAAACCCTGTCTCTACTAAAAATATAAAAAATTAGCCTAATAGCAGCCGCCTGTACTCCTAGCCACTTGGGAGACTGAGGCAGGAGAATCACTTGAACCTGGAGGTTCAGTGAGCAGAGAACGAACCACTGTAGTCCAGCTTGGATGAAAGAGAGAGACTCCGTCTCAAAATAATAATAATAATAATAATAATAATAGCAATATAATGCCTGCCTGGGTTTTCTGAATGCCCAAGTTTTCCTTGGAAAGGGCTAGGAGGCCAAAAAGGCCCCACAAATCTACATGGCAGTTGAGGTAGGGGTGTCAGGGAAGCCTACAGGGCCTGTCCAAGCTCATCTGGCCAAATGATGGTCCAGCCAGGGCTTAAAAGCTGGTCTCCAAAGCCCAACTTCCAAGCTCTCTCTGACTCCCTGTTAAGATACAGCAACCAAAAATCCCCAATGCCGTAACTTCCCCGCCAGGTCATTGAATTCTAAATTAATGGAGGCAAAACTCAATTTCACTAAAGCAAAATCAGGGATAAGCAACCTGTAGTTGAGTGAGGGAGTGGAAAAATTAGCCACTGAAGTGACTGAATACAGCCAACAGAAAGGGAAAAGAGATACATTTCCAATATACTTAACCAGAAAATGTAAGAATCATGATTTTGGGAATCAGGTGCAGTCAGAATGTCAGACAACATGCTCAAGCTGACATTCTGACTGCACCTGATTCCCAAAATCATGATTCTTTAAAAATCTGAGCCCAAGGACGGGCACAGTGGCTCACGCCTATAATCTCAGCACTTTGGGAAACTAAGGCGGGTGGATCACAAGGTCAGGAGTTTGAGACCCATCTGGCCAACACAGAGAAACCCCATCTCTACTAATAATACAGAAAAAACTGGCCGGGTGTGGTGGCACATGCCTGTAATCCCAGCTACTAGGGAGGCTGAGGCAGGAGAATTGCATGAACCCAGCAGGCGGAGGTTGTGGTGACTCGACATCGCTCCATTGCACTCCAGTGCAGTCAACAGTCCACGACTCCGTCACAAAAAAAAAAAAAAAAAAAAAAAAAAAAAGGGTACCTATAGTAGCATTACTTGAATTGATAGAGTATGATCTGAAATGGAAAAAAAAAAAAAAAAAAAAAAAAAATCTGAGCTCATTTTGTGCATCTAAATGAATGTGTTTTCCCCACATCAGGTTAGGGAAGTGGCTAGTGATCCAGGTAAGGTCGACTGTGAATCTTAACTGCTGGACTCGCTTCTTGTTCACTTCAACTTTGAGACTGACTATGTAACTCTGAACTACCCGTAAATGATATGCTGCAAAGAGCCTCACAGAAATTCACTTAAAGAAACTGGAGTATGTTCTCCTCAACCAAAGTTGGTTAATGCCCCAGAGGTTCAGACATTCTCAGCCCTGGATTCTGACCCTGAGCAGTACACAGGTGCCATCAGGGTCGGTCCTCTCAGCTCCCAAGCCCTCCCATTTTAAACTCATAGAGGTTACCATACAATTGAACAAGGTGCCACAGGCAACAGAGAACTTTAAGGGTATTTTTAGAGCCCTGTGCACAATACCAGAAGACCTGAAACATTACCAGTAGAGAGATGACCACAGCAGTAGATAAAGCAGAAGAGAGGACCTAAACTAGGGAACACAGGGCAAGACAAAAATTAGGGGAGCACATCACACTACTGACGAACTGCCCGCTTACTGAATTAAGTGAAATTTCACTGTTGAAGATCTGGGTATTGCTGATGGAGAAGTGCTTAAGGAACCAGAACAGGATTCATCAGTGTCGCCCTGTATCACTCAAGTACACAAAACAACATGTCTAGTCCACTATTCTCAGAGCAAAAGTAATGGCCACAGCCAGGCACGGTGGCTCACACCTGTAATTCCAGCACTTAGGGATGCCAAGGCGGGTGGATCACCTGACAGCAGGAGTTTGACACCAGCCTGGCCAACATAATGAAACCCTGTCTTTACTAAAAATACAAAAATCAGCTAGTGTGGTAGTATGCGCCGGTAGTCCCAGCTACTCAGGAGGCAGAGGCAGGATAAATTCTTGAACCCAGGAGGCAGAGGGTATAGTGAGCCAAGATGATGCCACTGCACTCTAGCCTGGGCAAAAGAGCAAGACTCTGTCTCAAACAAAACAAACAACAACAACAAAATAACAAAATTATGGAAGTTTTTGTTTTTTGTTCTGCTTTGTTTGTTTTTGAGACAGAGTCTCGCTTTATTGCCAAGGCTGGAGTACAGTAGCATGATCTTGACTCACTACAACCGCTGCCTCCCAGGTTCAAGCAATTCTCAGGCCTTAGCCCCTCCAAGTAGCTGGGATTACAGGCATGCACCACCACATGCAGCTAATTTTTGTATTTTTAGTAGAGACAGAGTTTCACCATGTTGGCCAGGCTGGTCTCAAACTCCTGACCTTAAGTGATCCGCCCAGCCTGGCCTCCCAAAGTGCTGAGATTATAAGCATGAGACACCATGCCCGGTCTAAAATGGAAGTTTTAATAAAAACAAATGACTTGGCCAGGCACAGTGGCTCACATCTGTAATCCCAACCCTTTGAGAGGCCAAGGCAGGCAGATCACCTGAGGTCAGGAGTTTAAGGCCAGCTTGGACAACATGATGAAACCCCATCCCCACTAAAAATACAAAAAAATTAGCTGGGCCTGGTGGTGCACACCTGTAATCCCAGTTACTCAGGAGGCTGACGCAGGAGAATCACTTGAACCAGGGAGACAGAGGTTGCAGCGAGCCCAGATAGTGTCACTGCATTCCAGCCTGGGCAACAGAACATTTCAAAAAAAAAGAAAAAAGAACAAATAACTTCCTTCCCCAGCTTAAAATTTCCATATTGTTTTCAGTTTGGGATTGAATGAATGCAAGAATCCCAAATTAAAATTCCAGACCTGGCATGGTAGCTCATGCCTGTAATCCCAGCACTTTGGGAGGCTGAGGCGGGAAGATCACTTGAGCCTAGGAGTTCGAGACCAGCCTGGGCAACACACAGAGACTCCATCTCTGCAAAAAATTTTTTTTAATTAGCCATGTATGGTGGCACACAACTGGGGTCCTAGCTGCTCAGAAGGCTGAGGTGGGAGGATTGCTTGAGCCAGGGAGGTCCAGGCTGCAATGAGCCATGTTCATGCCACTGCACTCCAACAGAGCAAGATCTATCTCAAAAAAAAAGAAAAATCCAGAAAGTAAAGAGCAAGCTATGTCTTAAGACAACAGCTCTCTCCACATCCCAGCTGGCTGTATCAGGTGCCATGCCAAGCCCTTTACAGGCAGTCTCTCAATGATTCTCCCCCGGCTTTCCCCACAGCTCAGCTGAACACACCAGAATTGCCACAGGGAAGCCCATCCTAGATTGGGGAACTAGGATGAAAATCCAGGTGGTCTGACTCCAGACTCCAAGATCTTCACCCCTTGCTCCACCCCATTCCAAGTTCCATCCCGGCCACGTACCTGAGCCTGCAGCGGTCAGCCAGGAGCATGTGCAGGTAACGCTCCAGGGAGTGCTCGTTGAGGGCACAGCGCAGCCAGGCGCGGCCTCGGCCCACGTCCGAGGCGATGTGGCGCAGGGAGTAGAAGCGCTGCAGCTCGTGCTTGTTGAGGACCTCCTTCACGTAGTACCAGAACACGGGCTCTACAGAGAGAGGACACAGGCACCTGGCACTTGGCCTGGGGCACTCAGCAGTGGGAGAGAAACACACACAGCCCCTAGACGATGTTGGAGATTGTAACAGAGTATCCCCTTAGCATGGAAAAGGTGGGAAATAACAGCAAAAACATGGAATCAACCCAGATCCCCATCAACGGTGGACTGCGTAAACAAAATGTGGTACATTTACACCACGGAATTCTATGCAGCCATGAAAAAGAAACAAAATCGTGTCCTTTGCAGCAACATGGATGACTAGAGGCCATTATCCTAAGCAAATTAAACAGAAAGAGAAAGCTAAATACTGCATATTCTCACTTATTAATGGAAGCTAAACAGTGGATGCACACAGACATCAAGACAGCAGCAAACACTGGGGACTACTAGAGGGAGTAGAGAGGACAGCACGAGCTGAAAAACTACCTACTGGGTACTATGTTCACCACCTGGGAGATGGGTTCAATCGTGCCCTAAACCTCCACATCACGCAACATACCCCAGTAATAAACCTGCACATGTACCCCCTGAATCCAAAATAAAAACTGACACTGGGAATGGTGGCTCACTCCTGTAATCCCAGCACTTTGGGAGGCCAATGTGGTGGATCACTTGACGCTAAGAGTTCGAGACCAGACTGGCCAACACAGTAAAACCCCATCTCTACTAAAAATGCAAAAATTACCTGGGCATGATGGTGTACACCTATAATCCCACCTACCGAGCAGGCTGAGGCAGGAGAATCAACTGAACTCAGGAGGTGGAGATTGCAGTGAGCCGAGATCGCATCACTGAACTCCAGCCTGGGCGACAAAACAAGACTCTGTCTCAAAAAAAAAAAAAAAAAATAGGCCAGGTGCAGTGGCTCATGCCTGTAATCCCAACACTTTGGGATGCCAAGACAGGCAGATCACAAGGTCAAGAGATCCAAACCGTCCTAGCCAACATGGTGAAACCCCGTCTCTAGTAAAAATGCAAAAATTAGCTAGGCATGGTGGCACACGCCTGTAGTCCCAGCTACTTGGGAAGCTGAGGCAGGAGAATCACTTGAACCCGGAAGGCAGATGCTGCAGTGATCTGAGATCATGCCACTATGCTCCAGCCTGGAAACAGAGTAAGACTCCGTCTCAAAAAAATATATATATATATTGTATAAGCGTATATGCATATACATTTATAGGTGTAATGTTGTATCCTGATTCATTTATTTTCTTGTCTAGATCATGAACATTTTCCTATTATAATTAATAGTCTTTTAAAGATGATTTTTGATGACTTTCCACTAAAACGTAACTATTTCCCTACTACTAAGCGCATGGCACATGGCCAATTTTCCCTCTATACAGTAAAGAACACCCCTGTACATAAATAATTGTCCTCATTTCTAGTTCCTTAGGAAGGATTTCCACATGTTGAATTACTCAGTCTCAGGACAGAAACATATTTAAGGCTGTATGGGAAACCTAAGAAAGTCTGTTTTTATCCATAAGACAGTCATTCCTACAACTACTTGTAACTCCTCACATTCCACCACTTTTTATCCACATGTACATAGATTTTTAAAGTTTTTTACATACATTTAAATTTATTTATTTATTTATTTATTTAGGAGACAAGGCCTCTCCCTCTGTTACCCAGGCTGGAGCTCACTGCAGCCTCAACATCCTGTGCTCAAGTGATCCTCCTGTCTCAGCCCCCCGAGTAGCTAAGACACAGGCATGCGTCCCCATGCCCAGCTAATTTTTTTATTTTTATTTATTTGTAAAGACAAGGTTCTGCTATGTTGCACAGGTTGGTATCAAACTCCTGGCTTCAAGCGACCCTCTTGCCTGAGATTCCCAAAGTGCTGGGAAAACAGGCAGGGGCCACCATGCCCAATCCCAGATTTTTCATAGTTGTAATGTTAGCATGCACATAATTTTGTATCAATTTTCTTCACTTAACATTGGCTCTTCAACACTTTTTCATGCTGGCAATAACAATAAGAGCAACTACTATTTACCAAGCACTAACTACGCACCAGCCATTGCAGTAAACGCTTTACATCTGACATCATAACAACCGAGGCCACCTCCATGTGAGAGACAAGGTCTGAAGCCAGCACAAGTGAAGTAACTCTCCCGGCAACACAGCTAGTAAGCAGTATGGCAGAAAGGGACCTCACAGCTCACTGCAAACCACTAAATCACACTGCCCTGCAAAATGAGGGAACCTGGCCTTCTTCAAAATGATCACGTTCACAACTGTTTAATGTTCCAGGTGGGGGAAGCTGAGTCTTTGCAGCCAGACCTGGCTTCCAATCTAGGAGCTCAACAGGCTCACAGTCCCCTCTGAAATGTGACGAAGGCTTTGAACCTGCCTTCCAGAAGGAGGCAAGTACACCATCTCCAGAAACTGCACGGCAGGTTAGCTAAGTTCACTCTAATGTTTTAATTCAACTTCACCAGGATCCACTACACTCTTCCTCTGAGCTGTGAACCAAGCTAGGCTATGTGTTACCAGCTAGAGACAACAAAAACTCATTCCTAAGGGGCTTCCAGTCTAGCGGGCAGGACAAACAAAGGAAAAGTTCATTCAACCAAATGACCTTCAACAAGTCACTTGACCATGCTAAGCCTGAGAATCCTCTCCCATAAAATCAACACAAAGTACAGAATCGCCCGGAGTTACTGGGGTAACTGGAAAGGGAAGGAAAGCACTGAGCACAGTGCCCAATCCATGGTGACCAACCAGCATTTACTTAATAATTAATTCCCTTCATAACAGAGAGCATCTGCATGGCTTCATTTTTGTGTTAGCAACATCTAAATGTATACATATGTATGAGTGTGCATAAGTATTTGTGGATCAAGCCAATCACTGGGATCATTCAGAATAAACTTCCCAGGAATAACTGAAAACTGTCAAAACTATCTTGTCTCAATTCCTAAATGTTAAACTAATCCCTTCCCAAGCTCATTGGATCAGTATAAAACCACGCGACTGTACAAAACAGCCTTCCTTCCACTCTCCACCTCACTTAGAAACCAGGATAAGGAATCTGGCGACAGCAATGCCCTGGGCCAGCTGGCCAACAACATGTTTCGAAAGACCCCAGACAAGCGTCTGCATGTCCATCACGTGTCCAATCAAGCGACTCTCACTTGCAGCCTGTCTTGAACAATTCAGTCACCTCCCTCTGACCTTGAATCTACTGAATGCTTTAAAGTGTGTTTTCACCTTTCAATTCTGTAAATTGCTTACTGCTACAGAATCTTTTTAAAGCTTGTCAGGGTGATGCTGATGATGATAAGAATTATCCCAGCAGGTTTCCGCTTGCACTGCCAGAATTAATGTGGTCTATTTAAAGTGCAGCTCACCTGCCAATTAGTGCCTGTGGTGTCCGTAATTTAATTTGGGAATATATACTGATCTGCTTTGAAACATGGGGTTAAGTCCAAAAGCGGGCAAGGGCTTCTGGTTCTCCAAACACCTGAAAGCCAAATGCCACCAAGAACAAGTGCCAGGGAGGGGTGTTGAAGAGGACTGCCCTGGGGCACCTATTAACTGAGGATGTCTAACAGCAAAGGCTTTTGGCAAAGTTTCTATCACGCCTCAACTATCACCGATGCCAAGAATTTGTACCTTGGAGACCCCAAGGAAGGCAAAAGCCTTGGCCCAAATTCTAGTTCAGGCATTGTGTGACCTTGGGAAACTTATTTTGTCCTGTTTTCTTCCTCTGTACAATGGAGAGAACAGTACCTATCTGCACGGATTGCTATGAGGGAAAAATGAGAAACAGGAGTACATGTAAAGTGTATCCAATAAATGCAGTGAATAAAGGTTAGCCATAGTTATTAACATACCTGGCATATAACTGGTGCTCAACAAAAACCAGCTACTAATATCATTACTAAATTTGCACCAAACAGCATTCCTATCCCTTGTTTTGGGGTTTTTCTTGAGGGGGCAGGGTAGGGACAAGGTCTCACTCTGTCACCCAGGCTAGAGCACAGTGGCACAATCATAGTTCACTGCAGTCTTGAACTCCTGGGCTCAAGCGATCCTCCCCCCTCAGGCTCACAAGTAGCTGGTACTACAGGTGCACACCACCTTGCCTGGCTAATTTTTTCTTTTTCTATAGAGACAGAGGTCTTGCTATGTTACTCAGGTTGGTCTTGAACTCCTGGAATCAAATGATCCTCCTGCATTGGACTCCCAAAGCACTGGAATTACAGATGTAAGCCACCATGCCTGCTCCCTTTCCCTTTCTTCTAGCAAGAGCACCCCTCTTTTCTATGGGAAACACGTTCCACTGGCATCCTTCAGCACTACCCTAACCTCTCCCCACTGCAGGGGTAGACAGCTAACCCAGGACAGGCAATTAACTGGCCAGAACCAGAGCATATGCAACTTTCATTTTTTTAATGTTGCATGAAAATATTACTTATCTTGATTGATAAGCTTTTTGGTACTGCCTTCAGTTTTGTGGCCAACGTGAGCGTCTCACTGACCTCAGCCTAGTCTTAGCCCTGGGCCACAGGGACCCTTCACACAAGTTCTACTGGAGCCACTAGAAGAGAGGCTTTGTCTCCTCCAGGAGCTGAGGTCAGCAAACTATGGCCTGGGGGTCAAATCCAGCCTGCAGACTGTTTTTGTAAGCATAGTGTTACTGGAACACAGCCACGCCACTTGCTCCCATATTGTCTATGGCCAAGTTTCTGCTCCACTGGCAGAGCTGAGTCCTTGCGATGGAGATCGCATGGCTCACGAGGCCTATAATATGGCCCTTAAGGAGGCAGTGTGCCAACCCCATTCTAGAAGTAGGATCTCTAATAATCATGGAAACCTGGAGTTACCTGGGGCCATTTTCCACCCCATCATGTAGAGAGACCACATCTAGAAGGACATCCAATCACAGAGAAGCTGTGCTGAGAGACA